TTGTTGATATATATGTGTGTGTGTGTGTGTGACTTGAAATAGTGCCACCCAATTGTATGGTTAATAAATTATATTGGGAATCAAAATTGTGCCTGGAAGATAGAAATACATCGAGTTTGGGTGCATAAAACTACGTTCTATTTTTCAATATACGCGCACTACGAAGAATTTGACACAAGCATACTGCCCTCATGAAGGAAGTAATAATAAAAAATAAATCTTTCAAAATCGAGGAGCTCGTGTAAAGCTTTTGTTTCCTTTTGCCAAGGTTTTACAAGTTGCGATTGCTTTGCTGTGTTCTTCCAATATGAGACAACCTTGACGAAGAAACAAGGGGTGCCTCTTCATCCACTGCAAAATCAGATGTACCACTTCCTTCATCATTGTTGCTTCCATCAGGAACATATATATCCGAGGATTTCTTCTCTATCTTCCAATCCTGAATCAGCAGAATGGAAAATATTTTTCATTAAAGAAATCTCGAAAGAAACCAAGATTAGAAGTTCAATTTGTGCAGTCTTGCGAATATAAACCCGGGGATATGGGTGAAATTAGAAACGAATAAGGGCATGAGCTTCAGCCGCAATGAAAAAGGTAGAATATTTCTTGGAAGACAGCCTTGGAGAACAAGAGAAGCATTGTAACAATAGTCATCACAAAAGCTAACCTTTACAATCCTTTCAGGAATGATTTCAGAAGCAAGTTGAGTTGCACGAACGTCCTTGACCTTCAAATAGTTGTACAGGACTACACCACACAATGCTGCAGAAACGTGAAGACTTCAATAAGCTATCATATACTTGACAACTGCAAAAACTTGCAGCAACTGTGACTGAGAACTAGCACTTAAATATGGACAGAATATTACCAATGCCATAGCCAATAATGTTTAGACCAGTAATCATAGATTCTGGAAACACAACCGTTGAAAGAGCTATTAGTATCCAATCTTTAAGAACACCAGCTACTCGCATGGTCACTGCTCCGGTTCTACCGATTACCAAGAAAATCGAGAAGTTCAACAATAGTGCACAAACGGCATTGGAGAAAAAGATCCAGAAATTGAACTGAATTTGGGTGATTTCCATCCCAGGCTTTTCCAGAAAGTACCAGGGTACAAACAGAAAGACGAAGCTGCACAAGTGAAAAATAGCAAGTTTGAAGTGAGGTCTATGCAAACATCAAGCTTATGTATGTTCGAGGTGACAACTGTGAAGGGAAAATGTGCAAAATATTGTCCAATCAACAAAATTCTGGTAGTCCATATGACCAAAGAAAGACCCTTAAGTTCTCATGTCAAATCATGCCAACAAAATTAGCAATCTTTTCTCCAGAAACAAAGAAATGCAAGAGAACCATATATGTACCTGCAGGGAGCTATGTAATATAAGCTTGTGATAGGGTTTAGAGTCAAGCCCTTCTTTTGTAGAAGGACTTGAGTCAAGACCAGTCTCAAAGCTTCGGCAAATATGCCTGTAACCTGGTAAACTGTACCAATCACATTAAAATGTATTTCCCCATACGAGGAAATGACAACTCCAACACTGACCAGCACCATGTTCGAGAATACGTCCCACCTTAATTTATCAGTACCACACAACACAGCCACAACAAATGTTGCCACTGGCACTGAATAATTAGCACATCAAAGAAAGGTGTTAGCATATTTGAACAACATTTACATAGATTTTGCAACAGATAAAAAATTGTTTCACATACTAAGGGCCTTGAGCATCTGGATGAAGGCCACAGATATATGCAAGTAAGCAGTGTTACCAAACCTGTGGCAGGAAAACATGTTAGGGAATGTTCTGCATCATCTAGTTAAATGTTTGAAAACTTGTAACGAGAATCTTTCTAGACAACAAAAATCCCGACAACTATACGTCCTTTCCATTTTCATCTCATTCTTTTGACTTTTCTTTGTTCTTGATGCTCTCTTAAGCATTTAACAAAGTGAATAGAATCA